TCCTCCTCAACCCTAGAGATTTAAGACGCCTCTTTTAGAAGTGTCCGTACACATATTTGCAGACCTTATCTTTTCTTTAACAGACCAACGATTGAAGGATAACCATGATGAAAATAGTGTGTTATCACATCATCAATGCTACATCATCAATACTACAGCTACAACTACAGCAACTTCTCGCAATCGTAACTAGGCATCTAATATATGGTTAAAGTATCATTTTACTTGTGACAACAAACGTGCCGATGGCAAGTATGTCTCGGGACATTATAGGTAAGGCTCACATGGTTTATTGTGTGTTTTCGTTTTTGTTTGCATGGTTTCTATTTCATTTGCGTGTTTTTTTGTTTATTTGTATGGTTTCTTTTTTATTTGCGTGTTCATCAATGCTACATCATCAATACTACAGCTACAACTACAGCAACTTCTCGCAATCGTAACTAGGCATCTAATATATGGTTAAAGTATCATTTTACTTGTGACAACAAACGTGCCGATGGCAAGTATGTCTCGGGACATTATAGGTAAGGCTCACATGGTTTATTGTGTGTTTTCGTTTTTGTTTGCATGGTTTCTATTTCATTTGCGTGTTTTTTTGTTTATTTGTATGGTTTCTTTTTTATTTGCGTGTTTTCTTCTTTGTTTGCATGGTTTCTTTTACGTTTGCGTGATTTCTCTTTATTTTGTCTGGTTTCTTTTTCGTTTGCAGCGTGTCTCCATTGTGGGCCATCGTAGTTTAGCTTGAGATTTTTTTAGGTCCTATTGATTTACCGATTAAGGATGCCCGGCTGAAAATGAAAGTTTATCTTTTACCGTTTACAGAATAACAATTAAATGATTCATTTTATAACAAAGCTCGCGTCCTAGCCCTATCTAATTCCTATGGAGCCACCATGGATTAAAAACTCTATATTTTCACGGCCGTGCGTATATGAGAAGACTTGTTACGTTTTGTTCATTAAACTCGGGTTTTCCGTCGCTTGCTTTGGACAATTAGTCTCCTGAAAGTAAAAGATAAACTGATTGATTACCAACAAAGAAGCAAATTTTCATTGACAAGTTGAGACTGACATTCAAGCAGCGCCCAGTTGTTCGAAGGCCGATTAGCGCTAACCCAGGGTTAAATTTTAATCCGGGATCCTTTTTGTTTTGTTTAAAAGTATTTTCTCGGATAATTTTCCCTATTCTTTTCGGAGCATCCAATCACCTTATTGCAGACAACAAGAATTAAACTGAATTTGCTTTTTAAGCTTCTATATCTGAATTTCAAATTAATACTAACGATGCGTTATCTTAACCCTGCTTTGAACAACCCGGCCCTGGACACGGTCCTAACTCCTGGTCTGGACGATTTCGACGTGTTCGTAACCAACCAATAAAAGCCTTTCTTGGGAAGTTTGAAGAGACTCCAGAGAAGCTTTAAATGCACTCGGCTAGTGACGCCTCTAGCAAGCCTTACGTTACTCTCCCGCTCTCCAATCTTCCCGCGTGCTTTCATAAATCGATATACGCGCGCTAAACATGAACCAATTCTCACTTATACTGGTAGTTTGTGTGACTCTGTCTTCTAGTTCTTTCAAGTGGGGCGAATTGCGACAACTGAGTCTTAATAATCCTGTTTGTTTGCGTATGGGAGCTCTGCTTTTAGGTTTACCCAAATCTATATTAACTCACCTGGAGTAACGACTATATCAGTATCTACTCGGAAGTACCAAAGCCCACGTAATCCAGTATTGCTTGTTTCATGAACTCTTAGAACATCGGGCGAATTAGAACCTTTTATAAAGAAGGTTGAGCCATCATCCTTGATGAGTCCTACACGAGCATTGTCACCACCTCCATGCCTGTCTCCAGTAGTCCACTGCATCATGTCATTGGCATATACGTAGATTGCAAAGGTTCTTTTACCGTCAGTAGCCAGCGCTAACGCAAATGTATTGGTCTGAAATGAAATGAAACACGCAATGGAAATTGTAATTTTAATTTAACATGGCGTTTTACACATAACAGAATTCTTTTTAATTAACAGTTATATATTGTGATCAAAAGAGATTTTTTAAAGTAAACACATGCCAAAATTAAGAAAATATTTCTTGCTCGACGTTTCGGTGACATCATGGCACTATTATCAACAGTAAATAAAGTGTAAAAAAGCGAATAAATAAGTAGGCTAGAGCTGAAATTCACAAAATTTAAAGAGATTTGAGTCAAATTGCACGTTCAGTTCTTGTTTGAGTTTGCGTATGAATAGCTTCTCTTTAATGAGGGAATCCAATTTGCTGGTAAATTTCGCAGTCACGTGAAACTGTTCTATGAGACACCGTGGTATCCGACCTTTGTGTTCGAGCTGGCAGTGTTTCCCTTGTGTCCCTCCACGCGCTCGTGCAGGTGCCTTAGCATATAACCCACATATCCTACACCACACAGGTTATATTTGAATTCATACACTACGCATTGCTGGTTGACAAGAGAGGGTTTAGCTTCTTGCACCTCCGACTTA